AGGCAATGTCAAGTCTAGTACAGTCAGTCACATAATGCAAGCTACCAATCATACTAGCATATTCCTTTTGATTAATTACATCCTCATCATTTTCAACAGGAAATAAATGCACATGAGAATCAAAAGGAGTAAGAACATGCTTGCATTTATAAAAATTATATTTTCTCAAAATTTTCGCAACATAATGCCACTGATCAAGAAATATAAGTTGGTTAATTTATAACTTTAGAGAAAAGATTGAGAGTTCAATTTTTATGAAATGTGTTGGTGATAATTATAAATAAAATATCAGAAAATACAAATAATAAAAATTACAATAATTATTGAAAAGGCTGAGGCGCGAAAAATTAGCTCTCTTTAAAGAGATTCAAACCCTCTGCAGTTAAACAAAGTCTCACACCAGTGTAGCAGAAAAAATCTTGACTTGTCCCTCTAAGATACAACAGCCCAACTAAGTCGTATGGTTCATCAATACTACACAATTGGTTGAACCCAAAGTTTCATCACATGCACCCTTTATTTCTTTGCCTGATAATCTCACACAAAAATAATAAAATAACAAACACTTCTTCTTTTTTTTCAAGATAAGAGGTTAGCTCAAATTATAGAAGAGGAAAACTTGGGGCAAAAGAAAAGAAAAATAAATAAAATAAGAGTTACTTGATAAGCAAGAATACTTGGAGGAAAAGAAAAAATAAGAGTTACTTGGTGGACAAGAATACTTTTCTTGGAGGCAAAAAAAGGTAGCTTAGAGAACAAGTTGCTTGGAACCCAAACACACAATATAATCTATATTGCATTATAATATTAAAATATTTGCTAACATTCTCCCACCTATTTTAATATTATAGGTAACAGAATCTGAGATTATTAGGCAAATAAGGATATTATGCATCATGGTAGGTGTGCTCTGCATTGAACCTCCATTAATGAAACAATAATATCTACTCCAGAGTCAATAGTATGCTCAGTATTGAACTATGACTGCTTAAGGGAAATAAATAATTATTACATACACATAATATTCCAGGTGTTCATATAAGCTTTAATAGCCAGCACATTATAACCTTGTGCGATCCCAAGATTCATGAGTGTGTTTGAGAATTAGCCCAAATCTCATAGGCAGCGACCTCACTACCACACTCACATAGGTGAATTCTATCAATGTTGCTTCTGTAACTATGACACCCCACTCATTAAGAGCTACACAAATTCATTAAGAGTTTTTTTAATAACTCAACATTTACAACGTTACAAGATAAATGCACTTACATCATAGTGATGGGTGAAAATTAATTTAGTGCATTTCTCATGGCCATCATACAATCGTTGTTCTTATTAAACCCAATTACAAGATCTCTGGTCCCTGGGTTGAGTATCCTCATACATGGCTCCTACTATATTCAATGGGCTTAAACCTCATCCCCCTCGATGTATTCCAAACTCTATCTCTTGCTAAGGCCTTAGTTAATGGATTTGCAAGATTATCACCATATTTAATATAATCCACATTTATGATGCAATTATTCATATAAGATCCCACAGTACTGTGTTTTCTTCTGATAGGTCTGGATTTACTATTATAACAACAGTTGTTAACTCAACCAATTGCTGCGTTGTTATCACAATGAATCAATATAGGTGAAATCGGTTTTTCCCAACAAGAGATTTCATTTAACAAATCTCTCAACCAATTTGCTTATTTACTAGCTATAGCTAAAGTAATAAGCTCAGCCTCCATTGTTGAATTAGTAATAATGATTTGTTTCTTCAATTTCCAACTTATAGCACCACCTCCCAATGTAAATAAGTAACTAGTGGTTAATAATGAATCACCTGACAAGGTATTCCAATCGGCATCACTGTAACCTTCAAGTACTGTAAGATACTTATTATATCCGCTCAATGGGTAGCTAGTGATCACTGCCAGGCTTGCTAGTAAACCTGCTAAGTACTCCAACTGCATAGGCAATGTCAGGTCTAGTACAGTTAGT